ACAACGTAATTTTAAAAAAGGGTATATTATTGATTCGATGTGTGAAACACGTAGTCATATTCTCTTACGTTTGCCTCCATACTATTGTGTGTTCAATCCAATTGAAATGTTTTGGGCCACAATGAAAGAAAGCTTGCGGAAATGTAATCAGTCATCGATTTTGAATGCTGTAGTGCTTGACAATATAAAGCGGGTGGTGAATGAAGTGGGTAATAGTGATGTCTGGAAGAACTGTGTGGCCCACGTTATAAAAGAAGAGAACAAATATTATGTGTAAAGTTCCATAAATCCGATCGTTATTCAACCCGATATACATGTATGTCAAATATATGTTTGACGAGAATTCGGTGTGATTATTTGTGTTTTCATTGTATTTTAGAGTTTTCGATTCGGAAATCAACTACCTCAAATTTCGAAGTTCTTCATAATTACCCATGGTGGAAAAATTCAGTTGAGATAACTTTTTCATGGGGTGATCAATTGCTATGATTGTAAGAATAAGTAACTGAAAAACTACCATTGAAAAATAATATGCCGTCGCCTATGTGGAGGCGGGAATTCTTCTCTGTGCTGTTCCAATTGATATTGGAAATACTATAATACCATATAAGGTCTTGTGATGCATTGTTTGGAACCTTTGGTGTAGTAATGAATATTACTGGAGTTCTCTCTCAACATCAAACTGTTATTTTAACACCTCGACACGTGTTTAATCTTCCTCTTGAAGATGTTCACTTGGTGATCGAAACACGTGTCGAGGTGATTAAATAGCGGAAAAAAACTCCAGTAATATGCATTTAAAGTCTTAATTGACCTTCAACTTCCGATACACACTAGTAGGGATCTTATATTTTTACTAGGATTGTCGCAGAATCCTTCTTCTACAATGTAGCCTTGATGAATTAGATTTCTTCTTTCATGTATTCACTGGTTACAGTAAAATTGTACGTAACACAAACTAATAATTGTCATTGTCATTGTCAAAAAAACATAGTAATGTAGTTGAAACAGATGCAACTCTTTCAAATACTCATATCAAACCAAATCATCTAAAGGAAAATTCGTTCAGGCCAGTCTCAACTCCCTACACTGTAGGTTATTGGGCTGACACCTATCGGAAATCAACTACTCCCCTGGCAAATACCACGAAGGGCGTTGAATTATATCTGACAGGTGTCAGTGCAGGATTCTTCACTGAAGTTATTTCTGCATATGCGATACTACTGCCGCAATAGATTTTCAGTTATTGGAACACACTTGCAGACCGCTGTTTGGTCACTTGTCAGCGCAAGATATTGTCTATCATCAACATAAAGTCGATGATTCCCGATAATTGAAAATCGAATTCCTTCAGAGGCTGAAGCGGACAACAAACAACAGATTTATCATCGCCCCATCTGCCTGTGAACGAGGTAACCAACCGCATATCCGAAATGTTCCCAATTCTTGCATAAGGATTAAAATATTTTCACTTATAGTCAGTGGGTATACTTGAAGACTGGCTATAAATCAAATCATATATAGCATGGGTTCCCAACCGGTGGTACGCGTACCACTGGTGGTACGCGTACTGCCGGCCGCTGTGGATATGGCTCAAGCCGTGTTGAGAGAAAAGGCAGCCAAAAAGAATTAAAAAAATACCACTGTCAAAAAACACAGTAAAAAGACGGATTGACGATATGTCTAATAATATTGAAGGACAACTGGCTTTAAAACTCCAAGAATGCTCTTATTTTTCGATTCGAGTTGACGAAAGCATTGTTGTTACAAACATGGCGGAGCTACTTGTTTTCGTGCGATTTGATTATGATGAAGAGGTGATAGAAGAGTTTTTTTCTGCAAATCACTTGAATCAAATACCACATCGGAACTCATTTTTAAGGTAATTGATGAATATGTGCTCAAAGTAGGCATTCCCTGGTCCAAGTGTATTGGCTTGTGTACAGATGGGGCAAAAGCTATGTCAGAAAAATTGACAGGGCAAGCAGCAACAATGAAGATAGTTGCTCCTGAATGCAAATAAAGTACGCATTGTGTCTCCTATCGAGAAGCCTTAGCTCCTAAAGGTATGCAGGAAAATATTAACTCCGTTCTATCAAATTCTGTGAAAGCTAAAACTTCATAAATACTAGAGCTCTCCTTGATGTGTGAAGAAATGGGTGGCAAGTTCAAAACTTTATTCCTGCATACAGAAGTGAGTTGGTTATTTCGCGAGAAAATTTTGAACCGTTTCTTTGAACTGAGATCATAAGTTTTCATGTTTTTAAGTGAAAAAAATCATGACATGGAATAATTGTTTGCTGAAGAAGAATGGTTGTCAAGATTGGCTTACCTAGCCGACATTTTTGACAAACTCAACACACTGAACTTGGGACTTCAGGGACCAAACACAACAACCTTCAATTTTGATAAAATTATTTTATTGGAATGCTTTCAAATACAATTTTGTTTTCATTGCCATATTGTCACTTTTAAGATGATTTACCAAGTATTTCATAGTATGGTGTATTTACTACAATTCCAAAACAATAAAATAACTGTTATAAAATCAGATTGCTTTCTCTAATATATATTTGCTATTGCCAAGAAAAAATGCATCACTTTAGAAGAATCAGCTGACATTGATTTTAGAGGTCATGTAATGAAGTATAATTTGTCAAGTTTAATTTGACTAGCGTCCCAATAACTATATGCCTAATAACGTCGTGTAATATTGGTCACTGGAAAAAAATTAAGAAAAGTGGTTCGTTTTAGACGAAGACCCACGTAACCTAGTGTTTCAAATTTGTTCTTGCTAAAAACAGGATTATTAATGATTAAGTGTTTCTTAATAGTTTTATAGGGGTAACATAGGAGCTAAAAGCCATTAAAACTCTTGCTTTGATACCAAATTATTTTATAGAACGACGCCATTTTAAAATGATAACGACTCGGAATACTGGCATTAGATGAGTTGAAAATATGAAATACTGCACATATAGTAATATTTGCAGATGAAAAGTACATAGATATTATAAGATTATATTATTTAGAACAAACTGAGTTGATTTGCAACTGAAAAATGAATACGTCAAAAGAGTGAATTTTTGTATAATTGATAATTTTTTCCAAAAATTTTGACAAAAGAGTGGCGCGCTTAAATTTTACTGATAATAGGCTATATATTTGTCAATAAAATTTCATTCGCAGTTGAAATACCAATCTTTGAAGCACAAACAATGTCTTCACCGGTTTTATACGTACAAAAGTAAAGTTATTGAAATGGCCCCAACATTTCAGTTGGTGAAATATCTATCATATTTTTCTAGTGTCCAATACAAAATCACATCTTACGCCTGCATTATATTTGATAACCCTTACTTGGAATTAATAAAAAAACTTTTATAAAATTGTATTTCAATTATTTTATAAGATTCTTCACGAAACTGTTTTTCAAGAGTGTAAGAATAATCTTAATGTTTATAAAACTGTTTTTTAGCGTTTGCAAAAGGGGTTACAAAGTATCATTAAAGACTATAATGTTTTATAAAACGGTGCCAATTTCCTATTTATAGCTGTTTTATAAACACATTGAAAACATTTCTGGGAGAAATACAGTTTTATAATTTGTTTCTCCGAAACGTTTTCACAACCATTATAAAATATAAAATTACTAGTTGGGTAGTTCGCACAAGTTTCTACTTCTGAGGGTGATCTTTCGTAGGGGTTCGATATCTGGTTAACGGAAAAACATATTTTAAACATATTTAAACGATTCATACTCCCTACTCTGTGGACAATTAAGACTGGTCTGACCGAAACCGTTCTGCAAGAGTGTTCCAATAATTGAAAATATATTGCGGCAGTTGTATCGCCAACAGCATATGCAGGAATAACTTCAGTGAAGAATTCTGCACTGATATCTGTCGGATATAATCCAAGGCTTGAAAGAAACTAGGTATGAAGGAACTAGGTGTGGACTGCGATGCAAAATACTATGGACAGACAAAAAGATCTATTGAAATAAGATATAAGAAACACTTAGCACACTTAAAATATGGAAGACCAGAAAAATCAGCAGTCTTCCATCATACTTTGCAACCAAACCATTCCATAGACTTCAGTTCATTAAGATTAGTTAGACAAGTTAACAATAACAGGCATCTAGATGCCTGTGAGAGTGTAGAAATAAGTAAACATAATAATATAATGAAATACGATGGTGGACCAATACCTAATAGTATACTATATAGCTTGTTTAAATAATATTTTATTTGACTATTACATAAAGACACATTGTAAAAATAATTTAAGACAAGTAGATAGGGCAATATTGTGAAATTAATTTTATATAGCTTATAATATTTCAATTATTGGATTTACCTAATTATGACACAAGGACACATTGTAAAATTTATTCAAGACTAGTAGGTAAGGCAATATGTGAAATTGATTTTATATAGCTTATAATATTTCAATTATTAGATTTACCTGACTATTACATAAGAACACATTGTAAAATTATTTTAAGACACTGAAAACGCAGGTACCTAGAACAGGTATCTATGATACAAATTAGGATGGCTTCGTAAGTATGGCTAGTTTGATCTTCCTCTTGAAGATGATAACTTCGTGATCGAAATACGTGTTGAAATAATGGTTTGATGTTAAGAAAAAACTCTAGTAATATTCATCACAATTTGTATAAATTCACTCACTTCATAGTTGAAAAACTGAGAAGCAAAGTTACAGAAACCTAAAGGTTTCAACTTTCAATGTTTGAGGGAGAAGATTGTTGAAATGGGCATCGTGAAAAAGTAGGAGAGAAAATGTAACAAGCCGGTGAGGCTACAAAAACTAGACAACTCAGATCGCTCCCAAGCAGTTATGAAAATTTGGTCAACATATTTTTTTATATTGACTCCAACAATAAAAATTTGGGAACCACTGTGAATTTTTTGCAAGGTAATTATTTCTATTTACATACGTGTATATATTTGCGGTGATACTTTTGGTTTCAGTACTCACTGGTTATCAACGATTCACAAATCATCGCATTTGATGTTATCAGTTCCTTAATTTGTAAAATATTTGTGATAATGATAGCAATTTTCGTAGTAGCGATACTTGGAGGGTAAGATTTGTACCAATATATAAAGTTTGTATCATTTAAATCATTTGTTGTTCCATTTCGGCATTCACTGTAGACAACCTGAACTTTGTGTATGCTGACAATATCAGAACATTTTATAATGATGAACTGTTCTTTAAAATTTTTCATGTTTTGTTATATCAAATATTATTTTTACATATTAAATATCATGATTCGGAATCATCTTATTTACAGGGTTCAAAAACCAATAGTTCACCAGTCATTTCAAGTTCAGTATCAGAAACAGCTTCTTTTATTCGAGAAACAAACTCAATGACATCCTCTTCAGCAGCTTTTCACACAATGGAAAACAATTTCAATTGTACGAATTTGGTAGATCACGCTTTATTTATTTACCCATCCAAAGAGACTGATCAGCTGATAACATGGGTATAAAAAAAGAAAATATATAATTGTCGGTGAAAGAAATAATAATGACAATACAATTCATAACCGTATCCGTATTCATAACCGGGTCAATTCACAAGAGCCGTTATTCCAATATTTCAATAATATTCATTATAATCTTCAAGGAAAAGCTACGAAATTTGTATGATGGTAGTACAATATAAAAATTATTATGAAAAATCTCAAACTTACTGTTAGTGAGGATGGCCGTGTCGAAAAGAATGTTACATTTAAACAATTGAAACATGTCAATACAATAAAAGAAGTCACTACTTCAAAAGAGGCTGACTGGATATAAAGATTATTATTGAATTAAAATTCACTAAAAATCGTTATTTGTTTTAAAATAATGGATTACCGGTAGAAGCCATGTGGTTGGAAAACAAAGAGAGAGACAAAAAACAATTGACAATGACAGCTGTCATGTGATTCAGTTTGAAAAAGTGTGTTAGTTTGTCGATGATCAAACTATGGAACAAAAAAGAACTGTTATGGTGCAAGTGTGATCAGAGACAACTGCTGTTCTATAAGTAACTCAATAAGAAAACCCAAAAATCAAATGTGTTAATTAATGAGGGTATTGTCAATTAATGAACATATTTGATTTTTGGGTTTTCTCATTGAGTTACTTATAGAACAGCAGATGTCTCTGACGCTTATCTTATTCAGAAAGTCCAAAACTGCTGTCTCCGTTTGATTCATGGTATGAGGAGAGGCCGAATATCTCACAAACTGAAAGAAAAGTGCTGGCTGAGCAATCTGAGCATGTAGTCATACAATTGCCGCAGGTTACATTCTAATTCCTTTTTTTTATTAAATCCTCAGAACTGAAAACCCGGAATATTGATTAAGGAAAATCACATGCAGAACTCACGTTTATAATTTGAATATGAGATGAAAAAATATGATTGATATCCCTCCACACAAAAAACAATTTTTCAAGTCTTGCTGCTCCTACCGAATTGCGTCCGTATGTGATTCACTTTTATTTTGAAATCAGAGAAAAATACTACCCTCACAGCAGTCGCTTGTTGAAATGTTCTTCGTTTATTTTCGATAGTGTTTGATTTTATTATCTCTGGAAAAATTTTTTTCATTAGCTCGTACTGATTTGTAGTATTTTGATCTCTTCTCGTATTCTTTTTACTCACTTTTTTTTATCTGCAAGGAAAGTGTAAAAAAGTGGGTCAACAGACCTAGGTAACACATTTATATTTGGTTTACTGACAAACAATAAGCAATTTATTATTATCATTATTTTAACCGGAGTTTGCGCTGATCAGGTCGTGTCCCTCGAAGCCCTAATACATTCGAGAGGGCGCGCCAGCATTACCAACCAACGACCACTCCTCACCCGTGGGGTGAGTGATCATTGGGTCCGAGAATAATGTGCCCTGGGTAAGCGCAATAAGCCGAGAATGACAGCCTTCTGCATTTGACCGGCTAAAATGTCTGCCTTGGGACGGAAAGCCGGCATGATTTTGAGTTTCGAGAGTAGATATGGCATAATTCCACCAAGGACTCCAATAATGAGAACAATCATCGTGATAGAGTGATCTGGATAGAGTCTGCGGAGCTCGATATTTTATCCGTTTCTTATTCTCTTCTCGGCAGATATTCGTCTCGCCAGGAACTGAAAACTCCACGACAAATATCGTCTTGCTCTGATGGTCAAGAAAGACTACATGAGCCTGACTGTGGGTTTCTGACACCTTGTGTCAGAAACCGACTGCGCGACTGCGACTACGACTGCGACGCGACTGCGGTAGACTGAGATGTTGAAGACACCATCCTGGCAGGCCATGATGAACCCCTCAGTTTTCAACTTCAACCCATTCGACCTGAGGAAAGTGAAAGTCAGGCGTTTCGATAAGCCAAATCCTTCAATGTTGTTGATGAAGACCCCATGCATCGGCTCATCCTTCTGTTGTCGCAGAAGTGCAACATTTATATGACGACTTTACAGGCTCCATCGAGTATCATTCTGTCATGTATACACTCCAAACTCAAATGTCCATGGCCTTCCTGTTGTCGGAGAAAGTACAACCGTGGAACGGATGATTTAAGATGCATATTCCTATGGAGATGCGTCATTTTTCGGGTCTTAACGTTGAGTTGATACAGCTCCTCCCGAGTCCATTTCACTACTTCAAACGAGTGGAGTAAGATTCGAACGGGAAGCGGAGAGAGTTCTTCACTACTGTTACCTCTTGTAAGTGGAGTTGTTTCACGCCGAGTTAAGTTTATGTCTCTCCAGCATCCAGACGGTGTAGGATGCGTCCATCTACGAGCTGTACATCCTTTCGCCATCCTCAAGGACTGTAGCAGATCCTTTTCTCCAGAGCTATAAAGTTTAAGATTATTCATATAAAACAAATGGATGACCTTGTGGCTCCGGTATCCGGAGGTGCCACAACTATACCTAGGAGTATTTCTTGATTTATGAATTTGGATATCTTTCTCACTCAGGTTATCATTGAGAACAATTTCAAATATACTCGTACCACTTCCTAAATGTTCCATTCAATATATTCCAGGGTTCGGTGTTCCAGCATCAATTTCAATTCTACTAGTTTTGGGGTTGCAACTTCAGCATACCAGATTGAAGGAGCCTGGAACGAAGATGGAAAAGGCGAAAGCATATGGGACTACTACACACACAATACGAGATTAATAGCAGATAACAGTACAGGCGACGTGGCATGTGATTCATATCATCAATACAAAGTCGATATCGACCTAATCAAATCGATGGGGTTGAAACAGTATAGATTCTCAATAGCTTGGACAAGGATTTTACCCACAGGCCAAATAGACAACATCAATCAGAAGGGTTTGGATCATTATAGCAATGTTATAGATGCACTGATCGCTAATGGAATCGAACCGGTGGTGAGTTATTCAAAAAAAGTTCTTAAAACCCATTTCCTGCCAAGGGTAGTGAAAACCAAAGCAGGAACTAAATTTTTCTTTATTTTGTCAAAAAATACACAAATTAAGATATATTTTAAAAAAAACAACCTTGTACAGGGTGTTGCAAATATAAAATGTTGCGTATACGCATCAATGGCCGTTAATGCTATACGAAACGTGAAAACCTAATGACTGCTCCTAACCACCAAATTCGTAGTTCCATCAGCATTGACCGTAAATATTATGATATGTGCTCGTGCATATAATAATCCACAATCTTATAGGTGGAAATCTTCAAAACAGGCCGGATGAAGGTGAACATTGCATTTCTAGCACATTTATATCGTTTGGCTTTTGCACTTGCGGCACCTTCTGCTGGCTTTTTCTGGATGTTCAACAACAATGTGTCCCACATTATCTCTTCTCACCTCACGAGGAAGTTTATTTTCTGAAGGCCGTCAATTTCCTGAATATATAAGTGGAGCCCTGGAAACTTCGGCTTCATCATTTGTCACCTGTTCGGATTTTATGAGAGCTAGCACTAAATATGAGAGGAAATCTATTTGAGACATTTTCACTTCATTGCTTAGATTGTACACTTTCCAAGAATTGACAATAATGCTATCTATTGCATTTATAAATAATGGCCACCACCATTTTTTGCCTCGGACACGAATTCGATAATTAGCGATGCCATTATCGTGTAAATCGACACCTCCCATGTATTTTTTATATTTTATTATCACCTCCGGCGCCGTGATACTCAGCTCCTTCTTTTCTTTACGGCTATACCTCTTGACACTTGCTAAAGGAGTTACTGCATAATTATTCGTCATAACTGTCACAACAGAATTATCATTCCAGCGTACAGCACATACTTCAGCATCATCATCATAATAGTAATCATATGCGCCTCTGTCCCTTTTAGCTAAAGAAGCTGTTTTCTCAAGAGGGCAACCTCCAATTCGATTTTCTCGCACTGTACCTGTTGCGAATATTCCCTTTTCTTTTAAAGCACAAAAAAGCTTATAGGACGAGAAGAAATTATCAAAGAACACCCTGTGCTTAAAAGTATCATTGATCACTGGAAGTAGGCCCAGTACCACATCAGCACCTATTCAAGGTCACTCTTTTCAGTTTTTGAACCACCATAAGGAATAAATTGATACAGGTATCAATCAGAAGAGCAGAGACACCACAACTTATACCCAAATCGTACGGGTTTGCCCTTCAAAAACATTTTCGCGGAGTGCCTTCCGAAGTACGGCACCATTTCTTCATCAACAGATAAATTATGAGAAAATACTCCAAACTGCAAAAACTTCTGATTCATGGTGTCAAATAAGGGCCGAAGTTTCGAAAACTTGTCGTTCTTATCTAATTTTGTATTATCAGATAAGTGGATATTTCTTTTTATATTCCGAAATTTATTCCTGCTCATGCATCCTTGCACTAATGGTACTCCTTTGTCTTCATCACGGCTCCAATACATGTCCATCTGAGGTAACGTATGATATCCCGTCAAAATAAGAATGCCGATAAACTTTTTTAGTAACGGCACAGAAAACATAAAATCATGCCTATTACTGTCCGCCGCATATTTGTTAGAAAAGTCCACAATCAGATTTTCAATTTCTTCATCAAAGTATAAACAAAATACTTCAAACGGAGTTTTTCCGCTTATAAAGTCCATCAGTACTTGAACATCGCTATGTTCGCTTGACTTTGGTGAACTGCTGTACGTAGGCTTTTTTTTTTCCAAGCAGCTGGTGATACTTCTTTCTTTTTGTATTTAGTTTTGCTTCGCTTTCGTTGTGAGGGCCTGCTTCGTTGTCATTTGTTTCCTGTTCATTTGTTTCCTGTTCAACTCCAGATGTTGAAATAGTAAACGTACCAGCTATATCTCGGGGTATCTCATCGCCTACAAAAGCATAGGATTTACAACTACATACGTATTTCATGAAAATGTTATTTCTTACCTATTAGCAGATTTTCATCCAACTCCTCTTCATTAGTAAGTTCATCAACATCAGGGGGTACAATTACCCCCTGATGTAACGTAACGTAAGAGCACGTCGCTGTTCATAATCCGACATTTTAATTGCTTTATACTCTATCTATTACATTTCATGAGAAGACCCTCAAAAACACAACGTAACCCCTTCGAATATTTGATAAAACTGACTGAAAATACCCATAAACCACTAGATGCTTGCTTCCCACTAAACACGAACATACGCGTCGCACGTGCAGTACACAATGCATCTCTGGAGTGGTATCTCTTTCGGCCGTTGATGCGTAAACGCAACATTATAAACAACGACCCCGTTTTCATTACCAAAATCAAAAATCTACCTGCTGTTCATGAAATATTTTCAAATAAGACCTACAAAAACTGAAAAATATGAAACACACCCCAAATTGTAAATATATTTCCTTATGTAACGTCACATTATCGAGCAAGAATATCGGCATAACTACGCTAAGTTCAATAAATAATTATACCTCAATAGGCTTGGCGGTNCTATGGATAAACATTTATCAATAGTGGTTACTAAAATACATACACCACTACCATAAGTCTTATAATACCAAATACCGACATCCTAGTAAAGACACAAATAGTACAAAGAAAATGAAACCACAATGTTGCGTATACGCATCAACGGCGCTAAATGGGTTAATGAAATATCGTTCCGAAGATTATAGCCTCAAAGATGAGCCCCGAAGTGGTCGACTCACAGTAGTCTAGAACGACGATTTGATGGGTCGGTCTCCACCAGGCTCCTCTGTTGGAGATTGTCCTATCACAAACGATGCGTGGGATGGCGGAAGGACTGGGTGTTATCTCTCATGCGGTTTTTGATGTTTATGGACGTATTGAAAAGGTCAGAAAGCTCGAAAAGTGGGTGCGCCACGATTTGAACGATCGACAGAAATTGTCACGTCGGTTCTGTTTTTCTTTGCTTTTGCGCAATCAAAAAGAAACTTTTTTGGATAGGATTGTCACGAGTGATGAAAAGTTGATTCTCTACAACCATAGGAGACGTTCAGGACAGTGGTTGAACACTGATGAGTCAACCAGATACTTCCCAAGTGTTTGCTATTTGATTTTTTCTACGCCAGAGGTACCAGTTCAACCTTTCATCATATATTTTGTTCAAATGTTCATTTTGTTGACGTAGAGACAAAAATGGCTTGTTGGTGCTTTACTGAAACGTAATTAAAAATTATTTTATACGGTTTCCTGAACTTTTTTACCTACACTGCTTTTGCCCTTTGGATATCTGGGATCCTGAAAAAACGAATATAGGTAGAAAAAATCAGATAGGTCAAATAAGCAGTTTATTTTTGAATTAACGATCAGCACAGCAAAAAAATAACATACAAAATACTTATGGTTATGATTATAACACCCAACAATGAAAGACTTTCGAAACCACGAATGAATAAAGGAGATAGTTTAGTAAAGTGGTGCAAATGAACTATTTACCTCCATTGCTTAGATTGTGCCAAAAGACGTCTTTGCTCCCTCTAGTATATTGCTGTAGAATTACACCGATCTGAATTTGCGTATCAGAAAGTTATCACAGTGTTATCAACGTTATAACTCATAAAATATCCCTGAACGACATACTACTACCACACATATAACCTAGTTTCGAATGTATTCGGCGTAATAAACTATCCTGCATATATTGGTTGACTATCTGAGACGAACTTTTGAGTTGGATTTCGTGATTGTGATTTTTCACTCAAAATATTGACCTTGAATTCCAAATTTTGACTTTTATTAAAAATATTCATCTTTTGTTTGAAGGTGGTTGACAATAATAATACCAAATACCGACATCCTAGTAAAGACACAAATAGTACAAAGAAAATGAAACCACAATGTTGCGTATACGCATCAACGGCGCTAAATGGGTTAATGAATCATGATAGATACAATTGGAACCTATGGCGTAAAATAAATCTGAATGAATCGAGGATGTTTTGTATAAAAGTGTATAATAATGAATTCTTATTGCAAAGCGCTTTCGACTTTCGTCATCATCAGTGCTGACCTGAATGTAAGTGATCTAATGGAAAAAAAGTTTTTTGGGATTTTTTTTTGAGGTTATTAATTAAGGAAAAATTATTGATGATTACTTACTTGTCAGGCAACAGAAAGTATTGAAAATGAGGACATAGTACATTTGTAAGATTTGATTTATATAAAACTCATTAGCCTCTTAACCAACGAAATACATGTTCGAGATTGAGACCATGTGGTTCAGTCAAAGTATGATATGAATGAAGGGCAACTTGAGACGGAATGTGTCAAGTGTCATGTTGAATATAGTAGTACCAACTTGAGGAGTGATCCAGTATGGATTTTAAAAATTTTCGTTGTGGAGAAGCCAATATAGAATTATATATTTTGATAATAAATTTCAAATTATTTTAATTACAATTCATAATCTTTTTATGAATGAGAAGGAAATCTCTATATAAGTTTACTTGAGTATTCAAGCAGTGATCATTGTTAGAAAGCTCTTTGGAACGTGGCCTTCAACTCAACCACTTTGGTTAGTTCACCTTCTGTGATATATTTTTCTTTACCTTACTTTGATCAAAATATTTGTACCGTTATTTCCAAATTTATAGAAAATACCATACTTGGTAAAAAAATTCATTTAAATCTCACAATTACACAAGCAACTTTCTAGTGAATTCCAAAGACAAAATCAACAAGTTACATAGAAGTGAAGTATATAAGCTTGACTGTTCTGATTGTTCTGCATCTTATATTAGTAGAACCTGTAGACCTCTCATCACTCGCATTAATGAACATCTAATACATCATACAATACTTCTTCAGAAACTTGAATATTATAGAATATGCGGAACAGCTTACGATTTTTTCTCCTCCTACCTCACCAACAGATTCCACATAGTGCAATACCAGGATTCTCCGAATCATCAAACATGGGGTA